AATTACCACATGGCCTTATTCTATTGGCTGGGAATTTGCGGTGATGTTTGTAGGTGGTGTACATCACCTCCTTCCACATATTGAGGTCCCCATTTGAAAGTATTGGTATGGATCTCATCGGTCCTTTAGAATGGAATCCATGAGAGCATTGCTTTGAGCTATTTTTAGTAGACTGTGTAATGCAGTACCTGGAAGCAGTGTCTCAGCATGCAGCATTGAGGAGGCACTCTACCGAGTTGTCTTCCGAGTCAGGATCCCCAAACAGACCATGACTAACCAGGGCACGAACTGTATAAAATATTGGGGATTAAAACGATTTGCACCAGTGTTTATCATCTATGAACAGATGGGAGATGTGGTAATCATTTTACTACCCTCTAAGTTACTCATGAACTGGCAACTGACCTTTGAGTTCACATGGTAAACAGCACCGGTCGTTCATCAGCTGCAGGGGGCAGGAGGTGGCTTGAACTGGCAGGTAACGTGATGATTCTCACCAGAGAGATCACAGGGAGTTTTATTATATGCTTTGTTTGTTTTTTAGTGAAAAAAAAACCTGAGCTGAGCTGAGTATGTTTGTGGCATTTAAATAAACTCACTAAAACACTTCCAATGAAATGTTTCAGCACAACACCCTGCAGAAAAATGCTGGAAACAAAGCCTGTTGCATTGAAATTGTATGTTTCCAGTACAGGCACAGGTAAAAACAAGTGGATTCTTGTTTCTGTTTACAGAATGATGTCATTTGCTTTCATGTACTCTAATATGGGCATTTATGGTTACAGCATCTTATCTGGTATCAATGGTCTAATCTTTTTTTTTTTTTTTTTTTTTTTTTTTTTGGATTGGCTGCTTTGCTGAATCACACCATTTGAAGCAACTATTAGTGGATTCTTATTTGGAAAAAGAATTGTTGGACCTGGACCAGTGTTGGGGAAATATTTACACACTTAAATATGACAAATATTTAATCACAAAATGACATGCTGCCCCTCAGGCAAAGTTTAATTTGGGAATGTTTCTATTTTACTCATGTAAAGGTTTCCATCAATATTTAAACGTTTACATATTACTTTAGGGTGGTTCGGTGGGTAGCATTGGTGTCTACTGGCACCAGGGTCCCTGGTTTGATCCTGAGCTTGGGATACTGTTTGCATAGGTTTCATTCATATTCTTCAATCGAGAGCAGGACAACAACAAACCACATTCTGCCTAGATTACAATCGCATAGTTGCGTTAGCAGAGAGTACGGGTGCGAGCATGACCTGCTGCAGTATTGACCCGTCTTCCATTGAGAATGTGCGGCACATTATGAAGCGCAAAATATGGTAACAAAGGCCCAGTATAGTTGTGCAGCTGAAGAAATGCATAATGGATGAATGGGGGGAAATTACGCTTACTAAAATACGTTATTAAATGAAAAGGTGACGTTACACAGTGGTAAACAGTCGACTGTCCCAACTTTGTGTGTTGCAGTCATCAGATTTGAAATCAGTGTATATTTTCAAAAATCAATAAAATTCACAAAGTAAAACATCAAATAATGTGGTAATAAGGTATTTTCGAAATAGTACAGGGTGAACTGAATTTTCAAATCACTCTCTTTGTTTGTTTGCATTTTCCAACTGGGGAATTTGGGTTGTAATAAAAAAAAAATATCATATACATATATATATATATATATATATATATATATATATATATATATATATATATATATATATGCCCATATTTATTTAGGCACAGTGGAGTACCACAGTTTGGAGTACCACATAAAACACTAATATCATATTAGATTATAGTCTAATTTTATAGTATCTTTTCCGACCCCTTTTGTCTCTCAGTACATTGGGGCAGTTTTTTGACACATACAAACAAACATATTACACAATTTCCCGCCAACTCTGACTGACACCTCTGACACTGCAATGACTGTTAATTACTATTACATAACTGTCAGTGTGACTCACGACAGCTCAGGAACAGTTTATGTGACAGCCTTTTTTTTTTTTCATAAAAAACTCCCATATTGTTATTTTAAAAAAAATTTATAGTTGTTAACTTATTTTGTTTAGCCCGTGGCACTGAGAGTTGGTGAAGTGGAATAAATCTTTACTGACAGTGTAGTCATGAAGGGATTTTCTTATAATCACCTTGTAAATACTGGCTTTGTTTGTGTCTACTATGCGTATCGCTTCCAGGAATTCCTGCTTAGTTAAATTCTCTCGCAAAGCCTAATAAACTTGAGGTCAAACCTTTGAAAAAAAACTTTACTTCAACATTGGCATGTCATGAACAAACTAAAATTCAAGCTAGAATATACAGTCCAGTGAAAAACCACATGTCAGATGTATTGTACAACTACAAATGATCAAATATTACATACTGTGTCTTTAAGTGAAATTAGGTCAGGTGTCAGGTGTTTTCAATCAATGGGAAAATCAGGTGTGAGTGAGCGCGCTGTTTTATTTAAAGAACAGTTATCAGAGTCTAATCTTCACAGCACACTTTTGTGGAAGTGTATCACGGCATGAACGAATGAGATTTCTGAGAACCTCAGAAAAAAAGTTGTTGTTGCTCATCAGGTTGGAAAAGGTCACAAAACCATCTTTAAAGAGTTTGGACTCCCCAAACCCACAGTCAGACTGTGTACAAATGGAGGGAATTTAAGACCACTGTTACCCTCCACAGGAGTGGAGACCACAAAGATCACTCCAAGAGCAAAATGTGTAATAGTCTGCGAAGTCGCAAAGGAACCCAGGGCAACTTTTAAGCAACTAAAGGCCTCTCTCACATTGGATAATGTTAATGTTCATGAGTCCACCACCAGGAGAACACTTAATAACAATGGTGTGCATGGCAGGGTTGCAGGGAGAAAGCCACTGCTCTCCAAAATGAACATTGCTGCCCTTCTGCTGTTTGCTAACAATCATGTGGACAAGACAGAAGTTTGGAACAATATTTTGTGGAATGAGAAGCGTTATGTTTGGAGAAAGGAAAACACCGCATCCCAGAATAAGAAAGAACCTTATCCCATCTGTTTAACATGGTGGTGGTAGTATCATGGTTTGGGCCTGTTTTGCTGCATCTTGTCCAGGATGACTTGCAATCACTGACAGAACAATGAATTCTGAATGATACCAGCAAACTCTAAAAGAAAATGTCTGTCCGTGAACTGAATCTCAAGAGAAAGTGGGTCATTCAACAAGACAATGACCCTAAGCATACAAGTCGTTCTACCAAATCACGGTTAAAGAAGAAACAAGTTAATGTTTTGGAATGGCCAAGTCAAAATTCTGACCTTAATCCAATAGAAATGTTGTGGAAGATGCTGAAGCAAGTAGTTCATGTGAGGAAACCAACCAACATCCCAGAGATGAAGCTGTTCTGTACTGAGGAACGGGATAAAATTCCTCCAACCTGATGTGCAGAACTGATCAACAGTTACCCCAAACTTTAGTTGCACTTACTGTTGCACAAGGGGGTCACAGCAGATACTGAAAGCAAAGGTTCACATACGTTTTGTCACTCACAGGTCTGTAATCTTGGATCGGTTTCCTCAATAAATACGTGACCAAGTATAATATTTTTGTCTCATCTATTTAATTTGGTTTTCTTAAGTCATAGGTTATGATGTCTTATCTCATATTTATGCAGAAATGTAGAAAATTCTAAAGGGTTCACAAACACAAGCAGCACTGTAGAACTTGTGCTTTCAGCATACATCTAGACTTTTGTTTTAATACCTTAAAGCTGTTTCACTCACCTGTGGTTCTGCTAAATTGCAAAATTTCTCAGAAGCTGTTGCTATGGAATTTTTTTTTCTGTTCAAGAGCCTGTAAAATCCAATCAGAGGGAAGGAGTTGAAATATCAGGTCCTACCCATCTTGGGCTTGATGACAAATGATGGTACATGTCACTGACAACAAAACCTACATTGTTCATCTCTACCCAAGAAATGTGATGCATCTAGAGTCTACGCCATAAGCCCTAGGCGTGAACTGGGAAATTACCTTGGATGGGATGACCATGTTTTCCGGGCTTCAGTAAAATTCCTAGTCCAACTACTATTACTTTCCAAAAAGCACACAAAAGATCTGAAACTTACTCAGATAGTTTGAGAATTGCAAACAGGAGACACATTTTTTCTTAAGTGTCACAGTCTTTGCATGGGAAACAAGTTAACTGTGGTGCACACACCGGTCTGATTTGTACGTCTGATCTGAAACATGTGGATGTTATCCCCTTCAAAATCCTCCTTTTCCCTATTCCAATCTTTGCAATGGAAATTATTCTGTACGTTGCAGAAGCACTTCACGTTCCCCTTGGTTTGCTTGGTGTCTGCAAAATATTTTTAAAGCTGCTCAAAAACCCCACCACCCACATGTATGCTTTTCCACACACCCTAGTTTCAAAACTAATCCAATTTGCTGTAAAAACTAATGCAACTGTGGGGATTCTAATCCATTGCAGGGCACCGCACACATGAACACACACTTTTTCACTCTAGTGTCAGCAGGCCACCTGGAGGTTTTCGAGAGATCGGAAGCAAACAGAAATCCCTGTGTTCACTGCAGAAAGGAATGAATAAAGAAACTGTCTGTTGATTCCGGTCTGACCATATACAAGTTTGATGATGAATAAGGGACATTGTGATTGTTACTAGAATGAAAAACATGAGTGTAAGCAAAACAAGTTGCTATAGTAGTGTATGTTTTTCGAACGAACTCAGCTACATGCTTTTACATGCATGGATTTACACCGGTGAGGAGATGACTCAACAGACGGTTTACTGTAGACATTTTAATTCTAGCGTCTTTTTTTTTTTTTTTTTTTCTTGATCCTGTGTTACTTTTGTCCAGACTTGGTCTTTACACCTCTTTAGACTCAGTGTTGACACTGTTTATACTGTTTATGTGAATATTTATAGTCTTAAAATCAACAAAGGCGGCTCTGGTCACGACCATGTTGGTCAAATATAAATAAATGTACTTCACCGAGGGCGCATAGTGCCTTAGTGGTTTGCATGTCCGCCTCACACCACCAGGGTTGGGGGTTCGATTCCCACTGTGGCCCTGTGTGTGTGTAGTATGCATGTTCTCCCCGTGCTGCGAGGGTTTCCTCTCAGTCCAAACACATGCATGGTAGGCTGATTGGCATGTCTAAAGTGTCCATAGTGTATGAATAGGTGTGTGAGTGTGTGAGTGATTGTGGCTTGTGAAGGATTGGCATCCTGCCCAGGGTGTACCCCGCCTTGTGCCCCATGCTCCCTGGGATAGGCTCCAGGTTCCCTGTGACCCAGAAAAGGATAAGCGGTGTAGAAGATGGATGGATGGATGGATAGTTCTTCACTGAAATGAGACATGTTTTATTGACTTTCCTGTGTCTGCCTAGAACTGTGTAAAACTGTGTTTTTGGAATAGATATTCTGAGCTGAAAGGGCAATTATTTCAGGTTGTTGAAATGGATAAGCCGAAATGGATAAAGTTGAAATTCCTGCAAAAAAGAAAACACTTTTTTTTTTTGTATGAGGAATTCTATAGTAGAATTTTATAGCCGGAATTATATATAGAATTCTATATAGTAGAAAAGGTCAAACGTGAAGATTTCTCCCAGGCCAAAGAAGGGAACAAATTGACATATATCCTGTTTTCCCCCTTATTGTAGTCAATTCTGAAGAGCACTGAACTAATCTGTGGATGCTTGTGTGCTATGGTAGCAAAACACTTTTCAGGAAATCCCAAGGAACAATCTAGACACTGACGTAAACTGAATACCAGTTGAAAACTTGCACAGATTGGTATTTAACACTTACACTGCACAACACACTTGAGAATGTTTCTTCCAAACAACTCTGTATCCAAGAACCGTAATCTGAGCAAAGTGGGTCACAGTTATTTATTTAAATTGTTACAAGGTCAAACATACCAACAGTTGGAGTGTAGCAAAATGCATCATTGTGTCACTTTTTGGCAGAGAGTTATGAAAAACTTAAGAGGGTTTTCAGCCAACACTGCATCATCATAGCTTCTGTACAGAAATGTGATGAACACTGATCGAAAGTGGAGGAGTACATCATTTCAGAAGTCACATATCACCTACTTACGTTGGCATTAAAAAGAAAAACAAAAAGGTAGTTTCACCAGCACACACCTCTGTACCCAAATGTCACATCACTCTCACAATATCTTCTGAATCTCGGTTCAGGTTTAAATGTCGGGGAATTTCCTCCATTCACTAGACTTCCTCGTCCCTAGTCCCTCCGTTGAGTGGAGAAAACACCTAGACATACTAATATGAGCCATTCATCATATGAGATAAGATAAGATAAGATAAGATAAGATAAGATAAGATAAGATAAGATAAGATAAGATAAGATAAGATAATACTTTATTAATCCCCAGATGGACAAATTAGGGTGTCATAGCAGCAGCAAGAAAAGAAAAAAAAGAAGAAGAGATAAAAGAGATAGTAAGGAGAACAATACAGGGATATATCTAAAGAGTATTATGAAGATGTATAAATATATATAGACATAAGCGCAAAATCTACATACATTTATATATATATAATATATATATATATATATATATATATATATATATATATATATATATATATATATATATATATATATATATATACACACACACACATACATATATGCAGTATATGCAAGCAACTATGTACAGTCCAACTATGGCCTTTTATTATATTAAAAAAAAATGTTTTTGTCAGTCTTGGTTTAACAGTTCAGCCCCTTTAAACAATGTCTCGCTAGCGCTTATAAAGGATTAGATTAAAGCACTGATGCATGTGAGCACAGAAAGAATGTTAATCTTATGAATTCCATTATGAAGTAATGCAGTAAACCATTGTTTCTTTTTTCTTTTTTTTAACCGGCTCAGCACTCTCTAGATCTGTACAGAGCCTTACCAAAATGTAGTATACCATTTTAGAGATGCCTGCATCTAATGTGTACGAGCAAACTAAGTATGTATGTTTTGCACGGACACTTTTATTGATTATTAAGTTGATTATTAGGAAAAATTGAAATCGAAATGGCTGTGACTTATTACAAGATGAAACAGCAGCTGTCTACATGGCTACACAGTTACAGTTATAGTGCAACGCGATGCAGTAAATATGCTGCACACAAATTAAAGTACGAACAAGCACCAGAATGGACTAGAATGAACTAGGGTTATTGTGTGAAGCTAAGCAGATGTATAACGTACTTTAGAGCAGGAACATGGTGTATATGCTATTTCATTGTAGCGTCTATTTCTTCAGTTACTAGTATTCATGACGTATCCCTCCTGCATTGACGATGAGTAATAAACCAAGCAGCCTGTCAATTCCAGAACAGCGAGAAAGTGATGAGGTCAGCCTCAGCGTATATATGGCATGACTCAAAGCAGTGTGTACCACACTGCAGAATTGATATCTTGTAGCTATGTAAAATCGGAACACCACAAATTACGGTTTTGATGTTAAAAGAATTTGCATAGCAAATAGGACAGAGACATGGTTGAATAATTTGCATATGAATTTGAATTAGTTTCCAGGTAAGAGTGGATGTGTAACATCCTGGAAAAATGCTTCGGCAAACTCGTATACAGTATATATGTGACGTGACCTTTTTCCAACACCTCAGCATATATTTTTCTGTACGAAGCACAAGCCGTTAAGTAGCAATAGATATAGTGTTCATTTTTCCATTTAACATTTGCATAACTCCGCGGTAGTTGACCTATAAATAACCAACTAAGACCTAAGGTCTTCGATCAGCAGATAGTTCAAGCACAATCAGCTCTAAATTGCTAAAATGTTATTGTACACAAGTAAATAATGAGCAGAATATTTGACTAAATGGTTATTATCACTGAAAAGTCTGTTATTGCAGGTGATTCACAGAATTACTCTTGTATTTAAAAGGGTCCCTGGTTGAGAAGCATTTGAGAAAGCTTGCTGTAGGTAATAAGTAGCTGAAAGTAATAATAATATTGATAATAATAAAAAAACATTCAAATGTAAGTTGTTTGTTTGATTTTTTTTTTTTTCATGTATCTATAAAAATCAATAAAAGTTCTACCAGGAGATGATTAGCCAACTCTCCCACAAAGCTGAACAAGCTAGAAGGGCTACAAGTGCTAGCCTTACATAACAATTTACATCATTTTATAGTGGTTCTTAGGACTACACAGTCATGAAATTGTCTTGGATTGACGTATAAGTGGTGGGGGAGTGCTAACTAGTAATCTGATGGGATTTAAAGTTGTAGGGACGACTTTAAAGTTGTAGTGTCTTCATGCCAAAATAGCACTAAAGGCATGGAATTGCTGACAGTGTCTACCTAGGAGTATCTTTCCTGTATGGCAAATCCTTTTCTCCAGTTAAATTAAAAATAAAAAGTTATAAGTGTGTTATTTCTCCTATACCACAGTGGTTTGCCAATTGTTATTTAAAAAATTTAAAAAATGATGTCGTATAGAAGTCTGAGACAGATGCAATTGCAGGTAAAGCAGCTTTAATAAAAGTCAGTGTAATAAATTCAAATCGCAAAGCAGAGGCAAATAAAAAACAAGGAACTGGGACAGGTCAGGCAATCAACAAACAGGATATCAGAGACTAGGCAAATAAAACCAAACAGGAAACAAGTCAAGGTCAAGTCAAGGTCAACACCAGCAGAAATCAGACAGCGAACACAACAGGCATGGTAACATTAAAGACGGGCTGACCTGACCATTTAGTGATGAAAGAGTTCATGTTAAAATGTTTAAGTTGTGGAATGTCCATAAGACAATCTAGTTCCTGGTATCTCTTATATTATAAGAAAAACAACTGGCCTTTTCCTCAACAGCTTCTCGTTTTTTTTCCCTCTCATTTGAATTACTGTAGAGGATGTCGTGTCACAAAGAAACCGGAACTTTCCCTGTCTTGCTGGGAAACTTTACAAAGCACCATAACTGTTGCAAGGCGTTGTCACCTGAGACTCCTTGTAAACAAAAAGCTTCACCACACATTACGGATTATTAGATTTTTCTTTGTTAAAGAACACATTTAAAAAAAATAAAATAAATAAATAAATCTTAAGATTATGTGACACTTCCCACCATACAGGTCCCTGTGTACTACAGTTACAGCTAGAACTATAGTCAAAGCTGCTGTAATATAAAACGAATCCACACAGACTTAGAACTTCCCAAATGTAGTGCTCAAGATTGCTCGCAGTTCCACTTTTAGGGTCAATTTATAAAACGGAAAAGGTTAGAGTCTCAAATAAATACAGGAAATAGAGGAAATAAGGCCTCTATAGTTCTCATCATTTTGAGTTTGAGATCCTACTGGTTACAGAGCTTGGGCTAAAAGAAATCTGGGGAAAAGCCGACTTTATTCATGCGTTTTGAAAAACGAAGAGATGTAACATAAGCAGAACAAGTAAGAACTCTATAGTACCATTCTGCTGTAAAATTCATCAACTCGGCATATATTTTTCTATATTTTAGAGGACATCTATATCTGTTGCAACTGTACATACAGAAACGTACATATTTGTACATACAGCTGATACGAAAATAGTCTGTGTGAAGAAAGCTAGCATGCGTTTGGAATTCCACGTTCACTCTTTATGTTTACTTTGGCAGGTAGCCAGAGTGGTTTCATCCAGGTGCATTTATTTTTAGCTCAAGTATAGTCATGTACACACATGCACTTTGTCCAACTTCTCATGTGACTTATGATGGCAAACTGGTTGTACCAGAATTAATATAGGGATTTCACAACTACTTACGCAATAACAACTTTGTTGTTTTTAATTATTTTTATTTCGAACGATCCATCAAACGTAAATGATTTCCTGTCTTTTAATATTAAGGGCTATTTGGTGTAGATTCATGATATTCAGTCTTAATTCTAATACAAAATGTGGACAATTTCAAACAGGTGTGTGTAAGTGTGTGTGTGTGTGTGTGTGTGTGTGTGTGTGTGTAAGCAAGACACTGTAAGAAACTGGATTTGTCTGTTGTATCAAGTGGATCTTCATAATAGTTCATAAAAGGTCATAATCGTTCATG